CCTCCTTCTCGAGAAGAATCACCCTGATGTGCCGTGCCCTGCACTTTGCCTACTTTCCTTAGGAAATGAGTAAACGGCTTCTCAACTACCTTTCCCTACTCTGAGGTTTCAAGTAGGCACAGATGACACCAGGGTTGTGCTGCCACGTTCTGTTCATTTCTACTACTGTTGGATAGGATCCAGGTAAAAAGGGATTATCTCATTCAACATCAAGTTCATCTGATGGATCAACTCATAGTTAGAATCTAAAACAAAGACGATGGGGATGAATGCCAGGCTCACCTGCAGTGGCGTCCTGACATCTGCAGCCTTATCCTGTTCTTTGGGGAATTTGACAGCAAGTTATCAAAGGTGAGTTGGTTTATGGGAGTCAAGGTATAAAATGACAGGGTTCATCAGAGTCTTCTCTTTCCTCCTCAACCTGGTTATCACTTGTATATCCCAGGAATGTGACCAGATTCATGTAAAATATGGATCTTTCTGAGCTTTTCTCTCTCCCTTGACTGTGAAAAAGGCCTCCTTCCTTTCAAAATTAATTTAAAAATTTTTATTTTTAGTTTTTCCCTTCTTTCTTCTTTTTCTCTTCCAAATCTTTTCATATTATGTGCTAGGATATTGAGATCAATAGAAGAGAAGAGAGTCCTACACATCCCAACCATCACCATTTGTCTCAGGTTGCCATACGTTGGACTAGGATTCCAGGCATGTAATGTATTTGGGAGGTGATCCCAGAAAGCACCTGGAGGAAAGTGGGGACATTAAACAGGAAGGAATGAGGACAATACAGGGCTGCCACTATGGCCAGCCGAGGCCTAATCCTGTGAGGACACTGGGGAGAGTGCACAGAATGCCTGCATGTTGTTTACAGACTCAAAACCAGCGGCAAGAAAGCTGGGGCATTACTTCACTAACTGTCAGGTGGAGGAGTTGAAGGCTGCTCTCAGGGGCCTCAGCTCCCCAGCACCCCTGGCCCTTCCTGCAGGCAGCCAAGCCCACACCCCAGTCAGAGAAAGCACTCAGGCACAAGGGGATGGGTGTTTGTAGCAAGAACTGATGTGGTGCAGTGGAACAGTGAACGCCCAGAGCCCATGGGTGGGCCACCAAGAGCATCTCCCTCGACTCTTGACTTAAATCAGCACTTTTGTCTTCTTCCTGATCATGCCAAAAGTTGGTGTTGTTATTTGGAGATTTCATTTTATGCTTTCATTAAACGCACAAAAAAACAGTTTTTGAATTTTTAAAAATCAGTAGCTAATTACACTTTCAGATATATTTTAGTAATAACTGAGTTCCCTCTAGTATCTTGTAACCTTCCCTCTGTGTTCCACTTCCTTCTTGCTGGAATACATCATTCAATAGCTGTTTCAGTGGGAGTCTGTGGGTGGTGAACACCCTCTCTGTTTTTATTTGCCTGAAAATGTGGACTGTTTTTTTTTAAATGACAATGTGATGAAATGCAACTTCCAGGTAAACAGTTTCCCTACAGCTGTAGGGAAACTGTAGATCCCACCCCACTGTCTTGCTCTTGACTGTCATGATGAGGAATGTGAGGATGCTGACTGTCAGTCATTGACGGTTGACCCTTCTTTATCTTTCTGTTGGCTTTTATGATTCTTTCGTTGTCCTTAGTGTCTGCGGTCTCATTACAGTATAACCGAGACGCTTTCTCTTTATTGATCTTACTCACAATTCAAGAGCATTTCATCCTGAGAACTCAGGTCTGTCTTCAATTCTCAGCAATTTCGTCTTCAAATGCCACTTCTCCAACATTTGTTCCCTCCATTGCCTTCTTCTAGAGCTCATCTTAGGCTAATTTGAAGCCTCTCAGTCTATATTCTGGATGTCTGAACTGATTCTTCATCTGTTTATAATCTGTGAATCTTTATGCTTAATTCTGAGTGAGTGCAGATTGGTCCCAGCCTTCCGTTAACCAATTTTCTCTTCACTTAGCTCTAGTCTAGAGTTTATCTCAACTATGGCACTTTAAAATTTTTGATCCAATATTTTTATCCCACATATTTTTCATTGGTTCTTTCTCACAGTCCCAAATCCTGGTTCATTTCTGACTATTTTTGCTTTACTATTTTGTATTCTACCTTGGTGGAAGTTACACTTTCACTTGCCTCTTTATACACCTTCAAGATACTATCTTAAATTCTTCGTCTAATTCTTCTATACTAATACTAATTTTGCCTTGAGTGAACTATTGTGTTGATCAGACTTACGTTTTAGTTTCTTGTTTGTTTTCAGACTTCTTTGGAAGGGGAGATTTAAATTTCTTATTTAATTATTATCATTTTTTGTCTCTTTCATGCGTGTCCCCTTGCAAAAATGTGCCCCCACCTCCCTGCTCTGCTCTGTGGTTGGTGATTGCTTCTTTCCAGGCTTCTGGGCACCACATATTGAAGGAAGTTTTAAAGTGAGAATTCGCTGTTGCTGCCCACCTGATGTTGACAGTGTGGCAGAGCTAAGTGGCTGGTCACTGGGCCCCATGTGCCTCCCCAGGCCTGCAGCTCACAAGAACCAGAGCTCCAGGGGCACTTGGCAGTCAGTCTTTCAATTTCTTTTCAGGTTCAGATATGGAGCCCTTCCCCAGCCCCTGGCTCCAGTCCAAAAGCCTGCCTCCTGCTCCTCATCTTTCATGGACTTCTGTAGGAATCTTCACTCTGCATGACTGAACTTTAGCCCCCAGGGCATGTCAAATCCTAGACCTCAACAAGCCAGTGGTTTCAGCCCTGCTTACTGTTTGGCACTTCTCTACTGTTTTTATTCCACAGATTTTTTATCTTCTATTCGAAACCAGTTGCATCTTCTTTGTTTTCTCCTTTCATATTTTACCATTATTGCTAAATGTTTTGAGGAGAGGGGTTTATGATGCATGAATGTACTGCACCATCTTGATTCAGAACTCAGATGTCCTCATCTGTAAAAAATCATCACTCAATTCCTCCAGCCCCATCATGGGCATTTCTACCCTTCCCTGTCTACCAGGGTCAAACATTGACAGTAGATGTCTCTACTCCCTGGGAATCCTCCCTGAATGCCTTTCTGCTCAGCCCATGCAGCCATTAACTAGGACATTATCATCCCATATGCAACATTGAATGAGGAAAGGGAAATGAGAGATACGCAAACATAGGCTATCCCATTTGGACAGAAGCTCAAGCAAAAATCTCCATGATTTTCAAGTGCAGGCTGAACCTGAAACTTTGTTCCATGTAGCCTTGACTGGTCTGAATCACAGCCCTCTCCAAGCTCCCCGGAAATCGACTCCAGGCATACTTAGCGTTCCTGTGGTCAAGACTTACCTCTGTGTCACTTCTTTCTGTATCTTCCAGTCCTGGCCTTAGAAGCATCAATAAGCACTTTAAAAGGCAACTAGGAAGATGTAAGTAATGTCTCTAAGTTGGATATAAAGTTTATATCCATAACATTTGCTTCTCTCAAACACAAGCCATTGAGATTATCGTCACACTTCAGGTCTTTTGATTTAAACCGAGTCTTGAGAATGAATGCTTCTATCAAAGTTTTCTTGTTATTTTGTTATTGGCTTCCTTGAATGGAGATATAGGGAAAGTAGAAGCAGTGGAAAGCTGTCTCCTAGGTCCCACCTAACTCTTCCTACATACCTCTTCCTCTAAAGAACCTCCTCACACCCTCACTTCTGCAAGGATGCACCAGTGCTCAAGAACAACACTCCTTTGACCACAAGAATACCCTTCTGCTCAGCTGTCATTGCTTCTGGGTAACTCTTACTCTGGTCAAAGTTGAGATGTAGGACACAACAAAACTCAAAGACGCAGAAAATTCTCAGAACTCGAAACTCTTGGGGCATGGAACTCCAAGAAGGGGTTTCCTAAGGCTGTCCCCAGGGTCAGGATGGAGGCAGAGATCTGAGAATCATCTTAGAGGACATCATGGAGAGATTGAGCACATGTAAAAGCCCTTCTTCTGTCTGGCATCCTGCTGTGCGCACCTCCCTCTCCTCTCCTTTGCCCTGTCCAGTGCTTCCTGCTGCCCTCTGGGTTCCCAGGGCCCAACAGGCTCATCCATGGTTGCTCCTTCAGCTCTACCCAACTATCACTTAATGTGCTTCCCAACTCAAAGCTTATCCATCCTGTGGGGAGCAGAGAAGCCTAATTGCTTTACTTGAGGAGTGAGTGTCCCATCTGCCCTTGTCCCGACCAGATGACTCACCTCATTGAGGCCTCCTCTCTGGACCTATGGGCATTTTAGTTTGCAACCCCTGTGTTAAACCTGTCTTAGATGTGTCTTTGATATGATATGTGCACTCTCCCTGACACTAACAATGGAACAGGTACCCACATTGTACATTGAGTGCATGTAGATAACCATATTTACTAAACTCTACTTTAACTTACCATCATTCCTGAGTTTCCATGTGTCACTGGTCGAGTTTCCCAGAAGCAGACTGAGACAGACTTTACAATGGAGGAGGTTTATTGGAGAGTGCTCTCAGAATTGAAACCTATGCTGGGAGCAAGGAGTTACGGAAGGAAAACTGGATGCAGGGAGAAGTTGCCTGTGATGTCTGAGATGATCCTACAGGGAGCTCTGGAGCTGAGATAGCCCTTCAGAGTCAAATTGAGGCAAGGTGGCCAGGCCTTTATACTCTCCTTTGACCAGTAATGGGATTTAGGCAGCGCCCTAAGGAGAAACTCAACCTTAGGCGAGGTGCCTCTCCTTAGCCATGGGCAATTCCTGGAGAGGGAAACAGCTGAAAACTATCACCTGCTGACTCTGTGGGATATAGGCTCTGTGTCTTCTATTCTTTGCAACCTGTAGGCCCAGCCATCCTTCAACATTGTAAACACTTAGCATGGACATGTTAGATTGAATTGATGTGTTAATCTGATTAACTCTAGTTAGAGAATGACTTACTTTTAGTAGGGCTCATTTGTTTCTACTCCAACCAAACCACAGGTGTCTAATTCAGGTTCTAGGTCCCAAAGCCCACATCCCCTGGCACCAAAGCTGACCTAACCCTGCCCCCTACTACAAAGACACCTCCGCAGGAGTTGTTTGAGAGCCCTGGCCACTTCCTTGTTCCTCAAGCTGTAGATGAGCGGGTTGAGCATAGGGGTGATCATGGTATAGAAGACAGAGACCACCTTGTCCTGTTTGGAGGAGTGGTAGGTCTGGGGCCTCATGTAGGTGATCATGGCGGCCCCGTAGAAGAGGGAGACCACTGCCATGTGGGATGAGCAGGTAGCAAAGGCCTTCTGACGACCTTCAGCAGAACGCATACAGAGCACAGCCACTAGGATCTTCAGGTAGGAGGCAGAGATGACAGAGAAGGGCAGGAGCAGCATGAGGATACAGCAGACATAGATCATGGTCTCGTAGAGAGAGGTGTCAGCACAGGCCAGCTTGAGCACAGCAGGGACATCACAGAAGAAGTGGTCAATCTCCTGGGAGCCACAGTAGGGAAAGCTTAGAGTGAAGACAGCCTGAATCAGCCCATCTACCAGGCCAAAGAGCCAGGAGCCTGATACCATGAGCCAGCATACACGGCGGCTCATGACCACTGAGTATCTCAGGGGATTGCTGATGGCCACATAGCGGTCATAGGCCATGAAAGCCAGCAGGAAGCACTCACCCCCTGTGAGGGTAAGGAAGAAGAGGATCTGGAGCCCACAGCCTGTGAAGGAGATGGAGCCATGGCCCATGAGGAAGTCAACGGCCATCCGTGGCACAATGGTGGAGATGAGCATGAGGTCCATGAGTGACAGCCAGCTGAGGAAGAAGTACATGGGGGTGTGCAGGTGGGGGCTGACATTGATGAGGAGGATCATGAGCCCGTTGCCAGAGAGAGCCATCAAAAACATGATCATGGTGATGGAAAAGAGGAAGATGTGGAGTGGCGAGTGGGTGAAGAGGCCCAGGAAAATGAAGTGGGAGATGAGAGTCTGGTTTCCCACCCAGACCATTGATCCTGCAGAGGGATGCGCCAGAGGCAGAGTTGGGGTCTGGAAACAGGAGGTTTAAGTTTAGGGCCATACTACTGAGGACATTACAACTTTACCCAATGCATTGCCCTCTTTAATTGGTACTCGGTTTAGAATAATAGGCAAGCCCTCATTAAGAAAAAGGATCTCTAACAGAGATGCAGGTTATTGTTGTTGTTTTAACTTCTACGACTTTCTGCACATAAGTGAGAAGCAAATTTTAAGCTATTTCTTGCTAAAACGAGCACTGCTTCTGCCTCTGCTAGGAGCTGTTCTGTTCTCCAGCCCTCATAATTGCTTCTCCTAGAAAGCTCTAGGCCAGCCTTACCCAAGGATTTGATTTTTCAGGAAAAGGTACTAAAGTGGCAAAGACATTTACCAGCTGTGTGAATGGGACACTTGTATAACCTTTCTGAAAATCATTCCCTTATATTAAATTGAGATAACAATATTATCTTATGAGGTGATTGCAAAGATTGAAGATGATAGCAAGCAATGTCCAGTAGTTTAGAAGTGATGACAGCTGACATGACTTGAGTATTTCTCATGTGCCAGGCACCCAGTGAGCACTCTGCCACAACCTTGCATTTAACCCTCATAACTGCCCTGAAAAATTGATCATTACCCGCATTTCACAAGTGGGGAAACGTAAACAGAGGGAGGTTTATTAATTTTTTCTTTTCCTATATGAAAGCTTAAAGTATTTCCGAAGTAGCTTAGTAAATGAGAGACTAGAGGAAATCCAAAAGCCCAACACAAAGGAAACACTAAGTAAATTACGGTACAGTCATGTGATAAAGAATATGTAGTCAGTGGGATATTTATGACATTTTAATAGATATTGCACAAAAATATATATGTATCTACTGATACATTTCTGAAGCCTAGGAGAACATATGCCAAGATATCAACAGTGTGGTTCCTTCTTGGTAGTTGGATTTAGGGTTATCTCCTCCCAATTTCTTTGTATTTTACACATTTTCTATGAGGAACGTGGAAATATAATTGAATTTTTAACCCAAAGTTATACTATATATAGGATCAACACTAAAAATCAGCAGTATTCACATACAATACTATAAACCAACTAGTGAAAGTAGTAGAAAAAAAATATGTCTTATTCACAATTGCAACAAAAGCTGTAAAGTACCTAGGAAAGAACCCTCATGATAAAAATTATAAAGTATTACCGAAGACAAAACAGAAGGCCTGAAGAAACTATGTATATTCTTGGATAGACAGGTCCAACATTGTAAGAATGTAAATTCTCCCCAAAATTAATCTATAAAATCTACATGATCCCAATTAAAATCCCAATAGGACACTTGCAGTTTGGAAATGTCAGTGTAGAGTTACAATTCTCTGAGAAGTCCCCCCAAAGCAGTGAGAGATTGAGAGCAGAAGCACAGTCCATGTTGGATGAAGTTGGGATACCTGAAAGCGGAACCCTCAAGATAAAATTGGAAGGGACACCAAAAGCAGTAGAAACTGAGCAGGAGTGAAGGAGAAAGTGGAAAAAGGGCACCTATGAGCATAGACCAAAGTGTCTTCTCTAAAAAGAAGGGAAAAACCAAAATTGCTTGTTTGTGCCAGTGGAAGCAAGGAACCTCTTGGGACCCAGTTTCTCCAAAGAGCAGAGAAAGAAATGAACAAAGAATCACACAGACTAGCCTCATTCGCAGGAAGAATTCTGTCTTGGTGGCAGGGAGAGAAGAGGGGATGTGCATTAAGAGCAGCCCTGCAGCTCTCCATCTCAGTAGCCTGAGAATAGCTAGAGGTTATCCTTAACACCCAGGGTCGTGAGAACCATGATGTACAAAGAACTCCGCTTCTGGGTTAAAATGGCTGATTGAACACGCTCAACGACTGTGCCCTCCAAAAGTCCCACTAGAAAGCGAGTAACCACAGGGAAAATGAGAACAAGGCAGAAGAAAACAACAACGTTATTTGGAAGCTGAAACCAGATGAGTCGGGGTAATGTACTTGCAGATCTAAGAAGGCTGAGGAGCTGATTAAGCCATGGTCAGGGCAAGACCGAAAATGGGGATAGCTTGAAAATCTGCTGAAGAAGCACAAATCCCTCCCTACTCCACACATGTGGGCTCTGGCCCCTCACCCTGGCAGAAGATAGTAGACTAATTCTCCAGGGAATGTGAAGCTGAGAATCCCAGGCTCAGGGGAGGGTGCTGTGAACCCAATGGTATATGGGAAGAAAGCGGGGTGCCTGGCATGGTCTCCCACTGAGCTCCTGGGACCCAGATTTATTCCCTTCAGGCATGAAAACAGATGAGCCTCTCCCTCAATCCAGGAATCTGACTGGTCCAGGGAACATCTAAAGATACTGACGTTGGAAGTTTAAAAAATAAATAAATAAAAACCCAGTCACTTCACCCAAAATGAAGCCAAAATGAGCATGCCCCAGCCATAGGCTCAGAGCACCCAGTTTGTTTTTTATTACCCCATATTTTAATCTGAGCAGACAACTGAGGAGAAGTGGACATCTCTTCAAAGTTTGCATCCTCAAATGAAATGTTTAAAAGTATTAATTCATATTTTTCATATATTTTTTTACAGAAAAATCAAGATTGATCAGATACTATTCTCAGTGTCACCTCTCGGGTGTTGTGGGGGATCTCTTTATTGCCAAAGCTACCTGGCCATACAAATCACAGTCATAGAACGTAGGAGCAGATTGAGACTCCCATCCCATCTCAGGGAGTGACGGTGACCCACATAATGTGATAGCATAGAGTGTGAGTGAGGTACCAGAGAAAGAGATGGGGGATTAGAAAGGAGAGGAATGAGGAGAAACATTAAACAAGACCAAAAGTGGAAGGGAGAGATGAAGGAGCAGTGGGTAAACGTCAAGGAAAAGGAGACAAGATAAGGAGACGTGACAAAATGTAGAAAAATAAAGAGGAATACACAATGGAATTCTACTCAGCCATAAGAAACGACGAAATCCAGCCACTTGTGACAACATGGATGGACCTTGAGAGTATTATGCTAAGTGAAATAAGTCAGAGGAAGAAAGTCAAATACCATATGATCTCACTCATAAGGAGAAGATAAAAACAATGACAAACAAACACATAGCAACAGAGATTGGATTAGTGGTTACCAGAGGGGAAGGGAGGTGAAAGGATGGCAAATGAGGACAGGTATGCAGTGATAGATTGTAATTAGTCTTTGGGTGGTGAACATGATGTAATCTACACAGAATTTGAAATATATTATGCTGTGCACCTGAAATTTATATAACGTTATAAACCAATGTTACAGCAATAAAAAAATCCACAAAAATAAAGAGGGAAACTGTTAGAATACCAGAAATGTTTCCCCAGAAGACACGGAAAGTCAGAAAAGAAAGACCCAATGCAACAGAGGGCAGAGAACATGGACATAGTGAGAAAGGAGAATGCAGATGCTAAGGGAGAAGGATTGGGAGAAAGACAACACAGATGGGACAAGGGACAGGAAGAGAAGGGGCACTTGAGTGAAGTAGACAGCCAGAGAGAGAGACAGAGCACTCCCATTATCAATGCCATCATGAGCCCTCTGACTTCCAGGACTCTGGAGGCTGTGAGAGCCTAGTACCACCGGCTCTCCCCATCCTGTAGAGAAGGGCTGTGGAGTAGACTGCATGGCGTCCAACCCCTCTGGCTCTCTTGGATAACCCTGCCCCCTTCAGAGTCTTCTCACAGCTGCCTCTGGCTCACCAGGTACCAGAGGCAGCTGCTTCCAGTCTGGACAGAGACAGTGGTCATGGTCTGACCCTCCCCAGCTTTCTCCTACACCATTGGAACATTCTGTGCCCATATTTGAAAGCCTTCTCCAGGTGACCAGGGGTCCACGTGGCCTGCAAGGCCAACCTCAGCTGATACAGACAGTCCAGGCCTATCCGTTCAGTCCAGCCTTCCTCTCGATCACAGTATGCCAAAGGCCACCCATGTCTCTGTTGGCCAGACTCTGTGCTTGCACTCACATCATCCCATTTGCCTAGAATGTCTTCTCTAATCCTTCATTCATTCGACAGATTTTTACTGAGCACCTACTGTGTGCCAGGCACTGTGCTAGGTGGTGGGAATAGAGTGAACAAAAAGATACAGTTTCCTCCTGGGAGCTGAAACTCCAAACGACCCTCTACTCCCACTCCTGAAACCTTCACTCTTCCATCAAGTCCCTCCTCCTCAGAGATTTTTTCCCTTCCTTACGGCACTTGGTGTCCAGAATCAACAAATGCTGGTCCGTCAAGTAATGTCTTGTTGACCAAGAGAACATCAAAGATCCCTCATATGGGGGTCTATGAACCCTGAAATTGTCTGCAAAACCTAGTGCTTAGGTGCATAGTTCTAGACAGAAAGACCAAAGTTTTTATTATATTCCTTAGAAAAGTGAAAAGACCTACCTTTTATTGTTGAATTGAAGTTATTTATCTGGTGGTGGTGTTTACACTTTCCAGAATGGATTTCCCCAAACTTATGGTATGTGTGCTGAGCACAAAGGCCTGGAGGGTGGTCTCTGTGTGCTCCACGTATTACCTATTCACACAGTGCATGTGACACTCGGAGAAGCGGAAGCTCAAATAGTGCCATGGGTGCAATCTCCCTGCCCTTAACGGTGACTCATCTGTTTGGTGGAATCCACAGAAGCTTCCTGGAGCCCAGGAGGTAAAGTTAGATCCTGAAGGATAATTGGAATATCCAAAGATGAGCAGAATATTTCAGGCAGAGGGAAGAAGAAGAGCCTGAGGTGGAGAGGAGAAGGCACAGTGCTGATGGGGGAGGCGAGCTGGACCTTGAGAAGGGGAGAAACTACTAAGAGGCAGCTGTGATGGTCCAAACAGGAGATGGACACCAACTGTGTGACCTTGGGCAGGTTCCTTAACCATTGTGAACCCCAGTTTCATCATCTATGGTGGCTGTGAGGATAAAACAGGATAATGTATGTAAAAGCCTTTACTCTAGTGCCTCACAGATAGGAAGTTCCCAACACATAGTGGCAGATATTCTGATGTCCACAACCTCTATCACTTATTATGCTGTAGACGAAGGTGGTAGCAGGAGGAATGCAAAGGAAGAGTAAGATCTTTTTTTTAAGTTTATTGCATTGGGAATTAGAATTTTCATGTTGAAAGGGAACTTGGACACAATTTACTCTGACTGTTATGGATGCATCAACTGGCTTTCAAAAAATGCATTTTAATCAATTATCAGACAAACTACTTTTTGCTAATGAAGGAGGACCCATTCCAATGTAATATAAGCCCCTGCTACCAAAAGAGGTGCAAATTTCTCCTGACAAAGCCTTACCAGGTGGCTACAGCA